CACTTTGGCGCAGGGAAACCTGCCAAAGTCTTTGGCTACATTCAACACTGCAAGGGAAACCTCAATCTTTCCGACGACAGCAAGTTTCACCCGCGCGTACACCTTGCACTGCAGTGTCTCGTGCGAAATTATTTCCGAGTTGAACGTGTAGTAGCCGTGAGATTGGCCAAGAGCGTGTCCAATCTACCTGCAGTAAAGTACGCCACCGGGTCTACACTGATCCACTACGACAACGATGTTAACCCAGCCTTCCACTATTATGAGTGTGTGGGCACCGGCCTGAACATCTCTCAAATCACTGGTAGCACTCACTCCAGACTCATCCAGTGCCTGACGCCACAAGTTCCTTCCCTAGGATATCATGATGACCTTGCCAAGTATCAGCACTTGGGCACAACGTCTGGAGAACACGACCAGCCTGGAGACAGGCCTCCTCCAGACACCCCAGGTGTTTCATCACCAAGTGAAGGTTGCCTGTCTACCATCTACGAAGAAAGCGAGGAACACGACATCGAGGCTATGATGATGGAGGGGTGGTACGATGAGCTACGTATGGACCTTCATCCCACAACGGTTATCAACGACTATCTCTACTGCGTCCCAACAACCATGCTGCCCGACCAATGCGTCTTGGTCTCAGCATCCGTGGACGATGAAGATACCGCAGTGTCGGAGATGCTCGGAGACGAGCCTGAACTACAAGAGCCCTGTCTTATCTCTCTATGCTCGACTACACCTGACGAGGGCTATTCTCTTGACAGTGATGAACGCGGTCCCTATGTTGAGCTATGTTTCACGCCAGAAGTGTCAAAGGTAGTGCTGGATCAGACCCAACTTGCACAGCTTGAAACAGACATGGTCGCAACGATGCGAGTATATGTACCATCGGCTGCTAAACGTGCTGTGGTAGTCAAGGAAGACGACCTACTTACCAAAGCCGATATAGCAGCACATCCTAAACCGGTTAGTGAAGCCTTGTACACCGAACTCAAGATCTGGTTTGACAACCGATGCTTTGAGATGCATGACCTATATAAAGCTTCCAACATCATGACATCCAGATATGTATACAAGTGGAAGCTTGTGAAAGTAGGCACCGAGAATGTTAAAACCATCCGTGTCAGTCTTGTCCGCCGCGGTTTCATGGACACGGAGGCTTTCGATGTAGAAACCTTCTCAGGAACTGCTCGAAGACAGTCCAAGAGGCTCCTGGCTAGTGAGGCGGCATGTCATCCAGAATGGATCTTAGCATCTATGGACATCGACAAAGCGTTCCTCGAAGGACTGACCTATGAGGAACTTGCTCATGCCACCGGCGAGGAAACTCGCATGGTTTGCTTCGCCCTTCCACCAGGGAGTGCCCAGGTGCTTCGTACACTACCAGGCTTCTCTTCTTACGATGAAAGCCGACACTGCCTCAGGTGCCTCAAGCCAGGAACGGGTACAAAGGGCGCCCCAAGAGCGTTCTCCCTCAAGCTTCGTACGACTACACGAGCTATAGGCCTTACCCCGACAAGTTACGATCCTGAGTTTGAATTCAGTCAGGATCTGTTAACGGCAAAACATGTCGAGGACATCAATATGATAGGCCTAGAGAAAACGTAGATGACTATGTACAACGTGTCGAAAAGGTGTTTGGTAAATGCAAGCTCAACAAACATTATTTCACGAACTGCGCCGTTCGCTACGCGAAGAATGAACAAGGGGATGTGATCATGGACCAGGACGAGTACATCAAACAACTACGTCCTATCACTGACCCTGAATTTACGGGAGCGGCGGCAGACGCCAAAGCTACCGAACTCATAACCGACATGTTCGTTAGCCTGCGAGGAGCTCTCGCCTATGCCCTTCTTACTCAAGTCTGGCTTATGGTGTATGTGGTCTCTCTCCTGAAGATCCAAGAGCCCACTAACTGACAAGTCAGACGACTGAATGCTGTGGCGCGAAAGCTGATCAGCAGCCCGAAACGCATCACCTTCCCTCGGATGAAACCGACGAATGAAGTAGACATGCACAGTGATTCGGGGCATCGGAAGCTCACCGGGGAGGAGGGCGATGAAACCAAGGGCTGCGGCATTCGTGGGGCTAACGTATTACGGCGAGGAAACTCGCCTCAAGGCAAATCCGTCATTCACCTTTGCGACGGACTATGCAAATCACACCCGCTGCAGGTGGGGTCCAGTTGTGCCGCTGAGGCACTTGAAGCTGCGCGCAATCTTGATGAGCGTTATCCCACGCTCATCACTCTCCATGAGCTCAAGGCAGGAGCACTTTCTCCACGACAACGACGAGACATGCGTGAAGTTGGAGGCCTAGCTATCAAAGTATCCCTTACTATAGACGCTGAGTCTGTATACAAATCGCTATCCAGCAAAGAACTTAAGATGCCGACGGAACGGACTTTGCTGTGACATATTAGCTGGATACGTGAGCTCATGGATATAGGTATAGTGCATAACGTACAGTGGTGCGACACTAGAGACATGACCGCAGATGG